AAGTTTTGGCTCCTTTTTGATTGGTCAAACTTCAAACTTTCAAACTTTAATCTCATTCTTCAATAGGTAGTCTGAATACCGGCCTCACACTATGCATTGAGATTGAGAATTGCGAATTAAAGATTAGAATTCGACTAATCAAATAATTTTAATTTTAATCCATTTCTTTATTGGCTGAATTCTAATCCTCAATCCGTAATCCTCAGTCTCGAATGTGTAGTGTGACACGGGCATGAGAGTCCTTCGCTTCCCTTTCGTACTGCGATACGATTGCGATAATCGTCTATCTACAATCGCGTAGATTCCACTTTTCCATGTGGAAATCACCGAAAGCGTTGAATAATTTCATACCTGACTCTACGAGGCGCGAGACCGAGAGCCGAGAGAGGCGAGAAAGGTCAGCCGGATATCTGCGTGAGTTTCGGAATGCATTGAGAATGAATTGTTGTTTCCCTCGTAAGCCGGCGAATGCTGCATCGTCATTTTTCGTTCTCGTAATCAATACGCAGATGTTGCATCGGAATGTGTCAGCGTAATGGGTGATCTATACGGAGTAATTTCGTTCGATTTCTGCAAGCGTCTTAGAGCTTCTTTTGACTCTGCTAAAGTCGCCCAACTATTCGCTCGACTTCAAAATTTTTAACGCTAGCGAATAAAAAAACAACCGTGTAGGAGACGCTTTCATCAGTGAATTGCTGACAAATTAAGAAGCTTGCTTCAAGTGAATATAAAGTCGCCCCGTGTAAATCACCCATAAGCAAATGTCACGAGTCCTCAATTTTCCATCACGTATCATGGATGAGGGGAGTCCGGAGATGAAAAGGATCAATCGGACATCTGCGACGAGAGTTTCGGAATGCATCCGAGAAGAACCGTTGCGTTGTTACTTAGGAACTCTATATACTATCGAACGTTGTGAAACCGATTGCGAGAAATCGTGCAAGCGAATAAAAATGTTTATTTACTTGACACCTTACGTGAGCAAGATACATATATACCGTCAGCAAACTCGTATTTTCTGTATGTCATAGCAACTCGCGGTATAATTTGCCGCTTAATTTACCGCTTAATTATAGCGAAGGTTTTCAATAATTATTTAGCTCAAAAATAATATATTTAGCAGGCACCGATATTTATTGCTTGTTTCATACTGTTATTTTATAAACAATAAAAGAAATGTTCTAGTTATATCAACGAATAAAATGCATTCTAATTATACTGATTAGAATTCTGGTTGTCGTAATTAAATTTATGATTATTTCGACAAGAAATAACCAGAAATATTTGATAGATTTAAGTATATAAGAGTATTCATAATTTAACAATTTTACTAATAAATATTTACGTCTCAAACAGCACGCAATATTTATGATATATTTATTGTAAATGTTATAATAAATGCTATGAAAAAGTACATATTATATTTCAATTAAAAGATATACTTATTTAAAATATTTACTCTATATTTTAATAATATTTCGAATGAATCTTTAGATAAAATATGTTTAAAATATTTAATTACATTTTAAAAATAAATATTAATAAATATTCTTTAGAAATATTCTGTGCTGTCTGAAATATTGAAAAATTTTATTGTATCAATAAGTGGATACTTATCCAAGTACCTTTCTAAATTTACCAGATTTCCAATTGAGTCAAATTTTATTTCCTGTGAAACGTCTTATATTATTTTACGTTACTAATAAATTTACAATATTAACAACAATGTAAGTACCTATCACCGATTAAAAAAAGATAGTCATAATTCAGAGGAAATGAATTTTACGATCATCGAAATTTGCCAACAATGCCAGCCTTATGATGTCTTTATAAAGATTACATCAAATATAATTGAGCGCTGCATGAAGTATCGAGTTTTTTTTTCTTTATACACACATCGTATTGACGAAGTGTTTACATAGATGGCAATATATAATGAATTGTACAGCCTTGGAATAAAAATGCGATTACGCCTGCCGGCGCGCATCCTCGGATGGAAAACGGGATGAATTATGATCGATAACAAGCGGTGAGAAATGAGCAAGCTGAATTCCAGCTAAAACGACCGGCCATATAAGCGGATTGTTGACGATCGGAGAGCTTTTCAAGGGTCTCGCAATGCGCAACACTTAATCTGAAGTGCATGCGCAAACTCTTCATGAACTTCCTCTTACGCAACGAGCGGAGCATCTGCGCGCTCGAATTCTTCGCGTGTTTTCTTTCTCGCAACGCAAAAAAGACACCCAAGGTGTCTCACATGCTGGGAAATATCCGAATGCAATCTGCGCTCATCTGCATTCCGCAGCTGGCGACGCGCTTAACGTACGGGCGTGAATACCAACGTTAGACGACCTACGGTATTCACCCCGCCTCGAACATTCCATCTGCAAAGGATCGCGGGACAAGTTTTCGAGCTGATCGCGCAGACTTTACATGGCGATTGTAATGAGCTATTTTCGAAAAAAAATTTGTATACGTATTAATTTTTTCGCAGCCAAAAAGAGCCAAGTGAAGTCCGAAATATCATATCTAACGTTTTTCTTTATATCATGGAGTCATAAACAGAATTTTATTATACATCTAATTTCCACTCTAGTTTTTCAAACTGATCGACCTTGTTTATGTTACTTATATTGCTTTATATATGACGAGATAATTTGACAATGACGCGAAAGATAGTTGCAAAAATTGGCGCGCTGAAAAGTAGCGCTACATAAAAAATAAAAATAAATCGTATTGTAATATTCTTCAATAATGCGTTTTATTATTCACTCGGAGAAAAAGACGGCAAATGTAGGCATCTATAAAATTGACAACTATATATGTTTAATATGTAGAATTTGTGTGTGTACATACACAATTGAATGAAAAAAACTTAATAATTATTGCAAATATAAAATAATGTATTCAGCTATGTACATTAATTTTACTTGTAAAACTTATGTAATTGTCACCGCTTATAGTTATCATCACTATGTTTTTCTCGAAGTGTTTTTTGCTATTTTTCCTTGAACACTTCGGAATAAATATTTGCGATATATCCTGCGCTTCCGAAGTTACTTAAAACTCGCGCTGAGAGTAATATTCCTTGATTGACATTCGAGAGCCAGCTCAGTGTTCACTGAAGAGTATTATTATTAGCGACCGATTAACTGGAATTCATTTAGCAATAGTTGCAATTTAGTTTTTGACGGAAAGTGAAAGACAACGTTTATTTTAGATACGCAGAATAGTTCAGTCGACGTATAAACAAGTCGAGTTGGTTTTACATCGTTAATCCATACTGGAGTTTCTATTGCAAAACTCGCCGGAGATAAATCTTTTTGGACTATGGAGCTATTAGCATAAACGATTTATATTATTGACGAAAATAGCTGCTACTTTCGCGCGCATGCCACGTGTACCTGAAATAAATCCCCGTGTATATACTATTCAGTTTCTATTTTCATAAATCTGCATATCAATGTCACGATACATCTGAAAGAGATGAAAATCATGCCTAATTCATTTACAGACTTCAATAGCAAAACTATTAAAAGTCTCTCCGACTAATTAATTTTTCCATTAAATACAATTGTACAAATTGCACGTCAACTATAGAAAAAGAGTGTCTCGCGATTCTTTTATGTAATTATTACAGAAACATATTATATTTGTTTGTTTTTTTTAGAACTTTAATTCGAGAAATATACGCACGAAGCTCCATGAATCTGACACAACAGTTTCGTTTTAATAGCCGAGCTTTGTTCTCGGTCCTAAAATTCCCGATGCACCCAACGACCGAAAGATTCATCATGCGGGACCATCCACGAAGAGAGATCCGTCCCCAAGGATTTCGGCCCGATCGACCGGCGGTGATCGAGGAGCGGAGGATCGGCGGCGGCGGCGGCGGCGGCGGCCCGGAGCTCTCGGCTCACCCGTTACTCGTCCAGCACGCTCTGCGGGAGGGAAAAGGGGATGAGGAGGAGGAGAGAGTCGAAGAACAGGGGGGAAGGAGAGAGATGGAGAGACACGGTGAGGCTATGTGCGAGGCACAGCACAGGTAAAACAAAAAGTCGGGAAAAAATTGAAAACCAGTCTTATGCAGTCGGTAGTCCGAACTATCCGACCGTCAGCGGACTCATTCTTTCTCTCTTTTCCCTCTCTCTCTCTCTCTCTCTCTCTCTGTCTCTCCCTCTTTTAACGAGAGTGCCTCTCGTCCTCTCTTCCTTCGTCATTTTCTCGCTCGCGCTCTCCTCTGTCGCGCTCTCTCGCTCTTCTCTTCTCCACCTCCAGCGGAGAGATCCGCGACGGTACAAACCACTACCACCAGCCGCCGTCGCCACCACCTCCTTTTCCTCCTCCTCCTCCTCCTCCTTCTTCCGTTTCTCTGAGGTCCTCGCGGTCCACGCTCTTTCTTAATTCAGTCCAATGAGAGCTGCTCTTCGATTCGTCACACCCGCCGACAAATCTCTTTCTATTATCTATTTTCCTCTCTCCTTCTCTGTCGCACACCGAAGGATCGCCGCGAAATTTTGAAAAAGCGACGAAGCGGTGCGGAGCGCGGGCATTCTCCAGCGCTCTCCTCCGACGCCGATCCCCGAGCGGAGCGGTCGCGATTGCGATTCGCGCGACGCAAAGTACCTCGCGATGCGTCGCAACGCGCGAACGTCGTAAAACCGCGACGACGACGACGACGAAGGTGCATCCTTAACGCGCTTCGGATGGGATACGCCGCCGTGCGCCTCGCCGTCGAACAGGAAGAGGATCCTTCGCGGAAGAGACGGACGCCCGTCACTCCGCGAGTTTGTTTTGACGACGGTTCACCGTGTATACGGTGCTTGCGCGCGCGAGAGAGAGGCGTGAGCGCGCTGCGTCGTAAACACGCTGCGTGATCTAAGTGCGCGATCTCCCAGAACGAGAGAGAACGTGTTCATCGACGAACGTTTGGCGAACGTTGGAGAACGCGCGGTGGAGAACGACCCGCCGTATTTTTTTTTTTTTTTTACGGATCGCAAGAATCGTCAAGATACCACTCTGAGAGTTACCGCACTGCTGCTGCGTCTCATCGTCTCTTCTGCGTGTTACATATACAGCAGTCTCGTTCCTCTGTGCTCCGAAACGATCCTTCTGCTTCGACGACGTCGAAGAGCGGCCGGAGTGTATCTCCGTATAAATCGCCCGCGTCGCGGGCGGCTGGACGAAATCCGCCGAAATCGTGAGAGAGAGAGAGAGAGAGAGAGAGAGAGAAAAAAAGAAACTCTCCTTCCTAGAGGATGCGAGGAAGGATTTCTCCTCTTACCGAGGAAACATGTCCCGCAGCGGTCGTCGCAACGCGCGAACCGGTTGCGCGCTCTTAAAATAGTTTCTCACGCGCCGCGTAGGCATAACTGGCGCGCACCGTTGTCCCGCGCCGCTGGAACACGCCGCCGGAGTAGTGCCAGGTAAATATCGATCGACTTTGTCTATCGCCGTTAGATAGATGCCCCCCCTCCTCCGCTTCCTCTTCCTTTTTTCTTCTCTTCGTCCCCCCCCCCCCCCCCCC